AAAATATTTGGTGAACCCGTAACGTCTTATACGAAAAAAAATAAATTTTATATACAATAAAGGAAAGAATGTCGATCACCAAAGTCCCGGACTTCACCAAAGATTCGTTCCGTTTCGAAGATGCCGTCGGGAACAGTTACGGATCCAAAACCATAAATCTAACGGCATGCGATCAAGGACCTCTTTTACTAAAGGTTACGAACTGTAGATCCTACGGAGTGAGTAGGAGTAAATTCGACAGGGAAAAATATTCCGTCTCCTTATCTCTTTTTGAAAAACCCGAGTTTATCTCGGTTTTAGAATTAATAGAAAAAGAATGTGCAAAACATGTCGGTAAACCCGACGAAAAGATAATGAAATGTCTTTATCGAAAAGGCAACACCCCGATCTTGTATCCGAAGATCGATAACGAAACGGAAATATACGAACCGAAAGGGAACGATCCCATCGATCCCGAAAAATACTTGGATAAAAGATTTTGTATCGATGCGATCGTTCGGATTAAGGGAATCTACGTATCCGGAAAAACAACTACTATTCAGGTAAAATTATACGAAGCAAGTATAACGGAAGAAAAACCAAAGGCACCGAGAAAAAGACTTTTACGAGATTAAAAAAAAAGAATTTTAATGTAAAAACATTAAAATTTTATTAAATAAAAGAATGAATCCAGCAACAACGGTACTTTATTCCGCGATGAAATTAGCGGGTAGTAACGAAACTGAAATTCCAAACGTAAAATTATCGGAAAGAGAAGCCGACGTCTTGTATACAACGTGTGCCATCTGTGCATCGTCTGCATTATCCATCTTGTTATTCGTATGTACAAAGTTGATAAAAATGTGTCGCGAGAAAGAAAAGAAAAAAGAAGAATTACCGGTTTACACACCGTCCGCGTGAGAAATTTTTTAATTTTTATTTAAAAAATTAAAATTTATTCAGGATTATTACTATCAGTAACAGTTCGAACGTGATCGGGATCAGAAGACAACCGATTAGACTCGTCCACAATAAGATTCTCCACAGGTGTAATTTCATTTATTCCATCGTATTTTTTAACGGTTGTACTAGCATATCCGATCTGTGTATGAATGCTCGTCGTTGCATCTCCGCGATCGAACCCGAATCCTAAACTAAACATTTTTCGTCTCTTGTGGTTTTTATTATGTTTAACAACACTTTCGGATTTTGAAGAAAGGCATCCCATCTTTTAATTAAATGATACCGTTTAATATGATCATCGTGGGAATGACGGCGTGTGGAAAAACACATTATCTGATCGAAGAATTGAAGACGACGTATTTTCATGAATTTTCCGAAATCTTTTTAATCTGTCCGACGTATCATTGGAATAAAACGTACGAGCAAGATTTTATTTACGACGATCCGAATTTTTATGTAATTCCATGCCATTACGACGACGTGGAAGATTCGATGAAATCCGTCGTGAATTATGCATCGGGGAAAGATGTGTTGATTATTTTAGACGATTGTGCGAGTACGAAATCCGTCAAGAATCGTACGAGCGAATTGGTGAAATTAGGATTCGGCGCACGTCATCGTCAGATTTCGACGATCGTGATTACGCAGCAGTTGACGTCGATTGCCAAACCGTATCGCGAAAATATTCAGAAACTGGTGACGTTTTACAATCCGAACAGACAGGACATGAAAATTATT